GTAATTATCCCTCTTTGGAGGTAGCCAGCATACCCTTAATGCTGAAGAATTCAACCTTACCAGTTTAAAAACAAACATTAAGAAGTTAGCGGATGCCTTCAACTGTAATATTACTTTCTTTGAAGATGTATCTATGCCTTAGCATTATGTGCGACACATAAGGATTGTTGTATAGTGTGAACCAATCATCAGAAAAGCTGAGAAGAGGTACTGATCTAAAAAAGGAAAGGAGATCTTGCTCACGAGTACTTTGTTAAGCAGTCCAACTTATTATATTCCATACCTATCTATATCTATAACGATACCTCTTCTCAGCTTCTATGCCTGAATTTTAAATGCATCAAAGGAGTCAGTGTTGATAAATATGAAGTTTATCCCCAGATGAGGATTAATTATGTCACGCCCCAAACTCAAGGGGCACAACTGGCTCCTAATGCCAAAACTCAGGCTCAAGCCGACCCTGCTGAACCATTTGCTACTAGCGTATGGCAGCCACACGCAATCAAGAAAACGAACAAGTATATCTCGGCTTAAAGCTAAGCCCTCAACCGGCAAGACCCCTATCAACAGATCTGCAAAAGAAACAGCTACTCCCAAGAGTTCATATAAAGAAATTGCCAACTAGCACAGAAGTGCTGATTGGGCCGTCAAGGCCACCATGATCTCTATACCAAAACTGAAAGCAGGTATATAACAAGACAATGCATCACACAACTAACAAGCTTCAGCAAACCAACAAAACTAGGTTAGCATAGCCATAACATAGCTATAAACCCCACACACTAGTCTGCAAGCCTCTAAGAGTAGTAAAGATTGGTGGGACAGGGCCCCAGCCTACCCATAAAAATATATACAACAAAAGCTAACAAACCTCCAAACTCTGGCAGCTCCGGAGGAAAGGGGCTAGCCAACTAGATAGAAGTCAATCCTGCTGCTGAGGACCTGCTCGGTCGTCTGTCGGGACCTGCATGCATGAATGCAGCGCCCCAGGCAATGGGGCGTCAGTACAAAATAATGTACGGTGTATAGAAGGTAATAGACTATGAGCAGGTATCCTAATATACTGGAATAATCCGATAAATAAATCAAGGATAAGATAAGTGTACTGACCTGCTCCTAAATCTAAACTTATCAAAAATAATAAAACAACAACCTAACCAAGTCCCCATAAGCTCGGCAGGTACAAACAACAGACAAGACCACCTACTCAGGCCCCCATAAGCTTGGAAGGTGCCAATCAGTCTTTATACCCCTATTGGTAGTCCCCTAGCTCCGTAGGCAGTTACATAGCCCTCTTAGGCATTAATATAACCCCGTAGGCAGCACATAGCTCTCTTAGGCATCAACATAGGTTATAGACAACTCATAGCCCTCTTAGGCAACAACATAGCCATGTAGGAAGCACATAGCCTTCTTAGGCGTCAATATAGCCCTGTAGGCAACTCATAGCCCTTTTAGGCATCAATATAGCCCCGTAGGCAACTCTAACTCATATCCCTTTTAGGCATCCATATAGCCCCGTAGGCAGAACATAGCCCTTCTAGGCATAGATCACATTCCTACAACTAACCACAATAGCCCCAAGGGCAACAATAACAATCCAATCGCTAAAACGAGCAATTTAGTTATAAGCAACCTATACAAATAGCCTTTAAGTCGTGTCCAACATAGGGACGCTACTAACTGAATAAGAATCCCGACAAGGGAGGATTATATAAACTCGAGCAGCCAACAATCAATAATAACGGCTACAAGTATATCAAGGATAACAACCCAATTACATTGCTCCTAAGCTTTAAGGAAACATGCCGTAAGTAGGGAATAGCCTTAACATACCTTTTTCTGCTGAATTCACGTGGCCTAACGACTTTTACTCATAATCCCCTCGATACTACGACAAGGCAGGACCATAATCAACACACAAAAATTGAAGATACCACGACAATCTGATAAAAGATATGTATTTTCGTCGCAAATTGCTATTTGCTACTTATAAAAGCTAGAGTCGATGAAAGAAGGGTCTTACCTCGATCTTAAGTTCGTAATACGCCTCTAAACCTTCAAATATGTCCAAACCCGTGCTGTCCCAACACTAAAGTGTGATATGCTACGAAATCGATAAAACAAATTATACCACGATGATGAGCCCAACGCGTAGAACAACTTTCGTCAAGGACTTAAGTCGAGAAAATCTATACTTTAGTTGATCCTAGAAATGGGTTTTTCTAATTTTTCTGGTTCTTAGCTAAAAAATGAAGAAAAGGTCAAAGAAGAAGATGTATATAAAGTTCCACTGACCTATGGCCCCACCTCACGTGCTTGCTTGCGCAGTCCCACGAAAACGCGAATATCTCTCTATTCTGAAGTCGTATGAACAAATAGTTTGATGCGTTGGAAACTAGACTCGTAGACCTTCGATTTCATAGGTCGTAGGCCCCATAAATCTTTATATATTGGGAGAAAACCTCCGAAACATTTGACCCAAATTTCAGAGAAATCTTTAAAAAGGAACTTACGGTAACTTTCGCCAACTTTCATTTTGCCACTTACCTAACTTCAAAACTTGAGATACCACCCTTGAACACTTAAAATATGACATACCACAGCATTCTTAATTTATTACCCACCCTCCTGGTCTTTCTGTGAAGATACGAGTAATTTTATACGTTTCAAAAAGGCGGGGTGTTACAAATTAGATCCTGTTGCCATATGGAGAACTTGATGAATCAGTGGAAGTGTAAAGCAGGTCATAAAATTGGAACATGTTCTTGGAATTAAAAATGGTGTTGATATTTAGAAGTAACTTCACATTTTCGAATATGTTCAACATCTCTAGCCTGGTGGACATGACCCTTGATAGGAGGGTGTGGAGGTTGAGGATTTGGGTAGAAGGCTATTAGTAAATAGTTTCGTGTCTGGTCTCTCTGATTAGTAGTATTAGTATTATTTTCTGCATTTTCATTATTGTACTATTTCTATATTTAGAAGGTTAACTGGTATTACAAACACAACAGGAGTACACCAATAGTGTGCTCCTACATAATTACATCAAAAGTATGAAGGAACAGCCCAAAACAAAATCTATCACCTATATCCCTTATAAACTGTCTAAAATTAGGGTAATGTCCCCTATATCCTTAGGTACAGAATGGATACACCAAAAGTAAAAGGTTGCTAAACAGTTCATCTTTATACTTTGGAAGGGAATGCTCTTGTTCCCCTATAATTTCTCACTCAGTTTTCTACTACTACTTGTTCTCTCGTATGCCTTTATTTTCTTACTATCCTGCTATTATCATTGCTCCTGTCTTCATAAATGTTGTGTTTTTGCCTTCTTTGAGCCGAGGGTCTATTAGAAACAATCAGTCTCTTTACCTGACAAGGTAGGGATCAATTATGCACACATTGTACCGTCCCTAGACCCCACTTATGGGACTATGCTGGGTATGTTGTTGTTCTTGTTTGTGTGCATGTTTTGAGCACATACAATATCCCAACCAGCAGATGATTGGATGCTCTTGATAAAGAACGATATATTTTGTAGAAGATTTTGTGTGCAAATTTTTATAATAAGATTTCTTTTGATACATCAAAGTTATCTTCTATGGTGTAGAATTTTCTGATATAAAATCTTGTGTGTAGATTTTACATGGTTACTAATTTTTCTGGATTGAAGAACGAAGGAGATACATTCATACCCTGCTCTGATTTCTATGAGATAAATTCGTGGTCCCTCTTAAGATTTCTAATGTATCTCTCTGAAACTAGTTTTTTAGACTTCGTTTCAAATTTGATAAATATTGGTTGATATAAAGGAAAATAAGAGAGGCCCTAAAACAAGTAGGAACTAGGAACAAAAGGATGGAAAACTTATTGGGAAAGAAGCAGTAAGAATTTGCATTCCAGTAAGGTCCTGAACTATTTAAGATCTAAAATAAATTACTCGCTATATCATAAATTTGAAAAGCAGCACGTTGAATTCTACTTTTTTCCATCTGTATCTGGGCCTTTAAGTTGGAACACTTAGGAGAAGATTCCCACCTTTTGTCCTTATGTTGGAGAGGTTTGCAATCTCTTTTCTCTGTTAGGGGGAAGTTGTTGATATCCCTTGTACTAGAACCTTACCTATTTCTCACTGCTAGTAGATTTATGGCCAGGGCAGTGAGTTGATTATGATGTTCCCTCTGCTTTTGCTCCATTCTGGAAGTAATTTTCTTATTGATGTTTGTCAGAGTGGTGATTTTTGAGCATAAGTAGGTAAATTTTAGGGATCTCCAATTAAAGGTTCTGTATGGTGGAGAAAATGCTTCTTTTGCGAGGAACTATGTAAATTTCCTTATCAAACTATGTAAATTCCCACATCCGAATTGTAGTATTTTTGTTGAGCAATAATTTGATACACATAAAATTCAAAACAACACTGCTCAATTATTCATATGCTGCAATTTTTTTACATACAGAAAATCAATATTTCGTTTATGCAGTGTTCTTAAATATCTTCTTGGATATATTTTGAGATGGGACTGAAACATGGCCGAATGTGTTTTTGGGATAAGGAAACATGATCGTATGCATGTAGAAGCTATCAGTAAAACCTTGACTATCTTGATGTGTCTACTTAGGATCCTTTGCCTTACGCAGTGATTGAAATTGATTTTTGTTAATGATGCGGACATGCGTTGTTTACTTTAAATGATTCATGGGTTGACAATTACGAAAAAGCTTAATAAAAAATAATGACGAGAACAGTAGCTATTGGAATATTTAGTTGTTGGTACAACTGTTTTTCTTTGTTATTTTCTGAATTTTGTATACTCTTTTTAAATGCTTTTGTGCTTTTTAACCCCTGGTCCTACTGCTTTTAAAATGTGTATTCATTTCTTTTTGTTGACGGAACTTAATATCTTTTTTATGCAGTAAGTAATTTGGATACAATACCCAAGAACTTTCTTGATTTTGGTAATTACTTGTGTCTTGATTTCCATTTTTTTCCTTTGCAGTATTACCTGACATCAGGGGGTTGCAAGTATGGAAAAGCTTGTAAATTTAATCATAGTAGGGAAAAGGGTGCCATCTCACCAATTGTGGAGTTCAACTTTCTTGGCCTGCCCATTCGATCGGTATTACTTCTTTCTGTTGTTTCAGAAGTTTGTAACTCTGCAATTTCTCCCAAGGGGTCATATTTGTTAATCTTCATTTCAGGGGGAAAGGGAGTGCCCTTACTATATGCGTACTGGCTCTTGCAAGTATGGGTCCAACTGTAGGTTTCATCATCCTGATCCTACCACTGTGGCTGGAGCTGATCTATCTTCTGGACATAACAACACTGGAGCTGTTCCTGTACAAGCTGCCTCCCATTCATCTGCATCTTCTTGGTCTCCGCCAAGAGCATTGAATGACACAGCTCCTTATGTACCAATGATGTACCCACCAACCCAAGACACTGCTTCTCCAAATACTGAATGGAATGGGTATCAGGTAGTCCCTAACTTTACTTATTATCTGTTGTATGTTGTTTATTATGTGTGCTCTGTATTGTAATGTTCTACCTTCTGGTATGCTGGAATGGTATCAGCCTATCAGGTAGTCCATAACTTAGCTTATTATCTGTTGTATGTTGTTTATGATGTGTGCTCTGTATTGTAATGTTTTCTACCTTCTGCTTGTATGCTGGTGCTTGTTTCCCATCTTTAATATAATTTTGTTACCTTATCAAAAAGATGTGTTTTCTGAAGATTGCATTATCATATCTCTAGTGCTTAGCTTGGTCCTTCTGACCTCTCTCTGGAATTATCTGAAGCAGGTACTTCCATCAAGGCAAGTGATATTATATGGTTTTAACGTCTATTTCTGTAGATAGAGATGGTAACTTTACTGGTATATTATAGATTTACCTTGAAGACTATACTTGGTCCATTAAATGTCAAGGCACTCATTCTTGGGCCAGAAAGGAACTTGCTGGTTATTGGGCAATATGATAAATGCTAAACAAAATAGATTAGTTTATATTACATTATTCTTAATGAAAAAGTTTATGTTGCATTCTCATTTGCTGTGAAATTTCTCCAGTGAGGTTCTTCTTTTACTTTGCCTATTTTCTTAAAAGCAGTCTTTATTATTCTGAACAGTCGGGTTTTGCATTTTGTTCATAAGGTCTCTGACTTAGTTGCTAGACACCTTTGCTTCCTGAGCTTACTTGTTTCTTCGTTTTTTCTGTTTGAGGCCCCGGCCTATCCAACATCAGAGAAAAGACTACCTACTCCTCCAGCATTTGCTATGAACAACCCGGCGAAGACCAATTTCTATCCACGGTCTCAACAGCCAGAGCAGGTTGAAGAATATCCTGAACGTCCTGGTCAACTTGAATGCAGTTACTTCATTAAATTTGGAGATTGTAAATACAGATCTAACTGCAAATTTCATCATCCAAAGTCTAGAATATCAAAAGCAAACTCAAGTACTCTTAATGACAAGGGACTGCCGCTAAGACCTGTACGTTTTTCTTCTTTCTGGATCTTGAACTTGTTTTTCTTCCAAGAATTTTTAGTTTTTGAAATATAGGTCAAATATGTTATAGGTGATTAAATTATCTCCAAGTTGAGCCAGTACCCTTGCACCAACATAAATTACTTTTCTGGAAAGTATCTTAGATCTCTATTTGCATTACTGATTTTTTCAAATTGCTTACTTTTGTTCCACCAACGCTCCATTTTTTTTTTTTCAATTTTTTGTAAATGCAGGATCAAACTGTCTGCTCATTCTACAGCCGCTATGGAATATGCAAGTATGGCCCTGCATGTAAGTTTGATCATCCAGAAAATTATGTTGGATCTGCATCACCTGCCGAGTCTGGCTTTGATCAGCATCAGCAATCACAGATGTCTCAAGGATGGCAAGGACAGCACCTGGAAGTGGATCACTGATACAGCAGTCTGTATGAGTAATTTTTGGTCCAGTTCCATCTAGAGTTTAGTTTAAAACCATATGCCAATGGTTAATCTTCTGGGACTTAAAACTCCACCGACGTGAGTATAAGTTCTCAGATCTATTTAGAGGATGGTACATTAATCTCTCTATGTTTCATGTTGTTACAAGCGCAAGCGAAATAGGATACTGTAAATTATTGATAGAGCATTTTATTTTAGATTAAATGAAGATATTAGGATACCGATCATGGGTGTTTATGATATCAGCACAGGGGGTTGATCTGGGTTATTTAGCATGTTTCCCCCTTTGAATACAGTTTCAAATCTTTATTTATGTCATTCATGTCAAGACTTTTTCTGTTTTACTAAAACAATTTTCAGAAATCTTTTTCCTGTGTTCATAGCTTCCATGGGAAGTTTCAGCCTCGAGATAGGTAAATCTTTTTCGTGTTCACAGCTTTCCTCTTCTTTTACCTGTGAAATATTTGAGGATCGTTCGGAGTATATTTGAGTGATATTTTGCTTTTCAATATTATTTGCCGTCAATTTACTAGAAAAACAGTGTTATTATTCACTTCGTCTTCAATTATATGTTGTCTTTCTTCTTTTACTTGTCTTTAAATTTTTTCATCTTAAAGGAGTTTGACTATTTTATTCTTATTTAATCTCATTTTATGTGTTATTTTTAGGCGTGTATTTTTCATGAACAATTACCATTTAGGTAAAAATAATTTTATTTTAAACTTTTGAAATGATACATAATTAGAGATTAAAGGAGTAATGCTTTTGTGCATAATTACTTCATCAGATTATTAAGTAAATGACAATTGTTGTTCCCTCTTTTGCATTACCCTTGAAAAATCTTTAGTTTAAAGGATAATTTCATTAAATTATTCTTATTTATTTTTCTCAATTTTTATATATGGTAATGTTAAAATTTAAATTATAAAATTGTTTACTTGAAACAAGTATCTTGAAATAATTGTTTTAATGAACATGATAAGTGGAGCAAATTGAACGAACCTTTATTTACGTACTGAACATGTGCGCTGATATGATTACGTATTACGTAAAGCTTTTCCGTAATAACTAGTAAACTTATTCGTGCTTCGCGCGGGAGTTTAATATCACATAATTTATAAAATAACTTAAAACCTATCAGCCATTAGAACTAAAATACTATATTATCTTACATATAAGAATACGTAGTAACAAACATTAATAATGTAAAGGAAAATGGAAATTATTACATCTTATCATTTATCCTTAATAACATAAGCATAAATTAATTACTGTAAAAATACATATCAGGATATGTAACATAAGCAATGGTGTCAGTGAGCCACTCAACATGAGCAAAGTACACAAATATTTAATTGTGAAAAAGAAGAAGAGGTGGTTCAGAATTTTCGTTGTTTTAAAATGAGAAGAAATCCCTCTATTTATAGAAAACAAAGGATAGTGTGAACAAATGTTTATTGTGCCTTAACGAAAATGTTATAACTATTTGGAAAAGTTGCAACCCTTCGTAAAGGACACAACCTTTCATAAAAGTCACCACTAATCATAAAAGTCGCAACTCTTCATTAAAGTCACAACTTTTATAAAAGTCACAACTTTTCATAAAAGTCGCAACTCTTCATTAAAGTCGCAACTTTTCATAAAAGTCACAACTTTTCATGAAAAGGAAATGCCAGTTTTGAAAATAAATAAATTAAAAGGAAATTCTTGTTTGTGGTGGCGCCACATAGGCAGACCTAAGATTCTCTATATGATTTGACTAGAAAAATTGGAATGTGTAACAATGATCATATTACGCAAAGCTTTTCTGTAATAATTTGACCAGAAAAATTGGAATGTGTAACAATAACACTAGAGATGGAGAAAATTCAAAGCGCCATTCCTGAATGGGCCAATCCACTATCCAAATTTAATAGGGGTTCCAAACACAGGATAGGAAATTAAAAAAGAAAAACAACAAACTAGAGATGATGTTGATTCTCACAAGTTCTAAAGGACGCAGTTTTTATAACCACCTACAATTTGAATAGAAGAAACACTTTTTTCAAATCTTGTGAAAAATCAAAGATTTCTTGTAGAAAGCCATAAAGCTAAAATACAATTAGCAAGGGATTACAAAATTAATTCACCTTTCCTGAATCGGCAGTGTGACAAAAATGCAATATTAACTATCATTACAGCTGTGAAGAAACGACAGATACAAAAATATATAGGAGCAAAATTGCCATGATACTAAATACAACCAAAATAAATTTGGTCACCCCATCTTCATGTATACCACATTATAGGGCTAAATAGTCAAAATGTCACATCGAAACTACAGATGGAACTTGAGATGCCAAAATGATGTCTACAATAGTTAATGTACTTGCAATCTCAGAGTACCCTAACTATGAAATAATTAGACAACAGGCATATGATACAATCTACCAATTTGCAAACTATACAAATTCTACATGGTTATAGGCCTTTTTATAAGAACTAAAATGTTGAGGGTTCAACATTTGCTTTGTTCCCAGCAAGAATGAGAGAGATCTCCAGACCACGACTGAATGCTTGGTTAAAGAGTATCCGCGACTGGAAGGTAGAGACAAATGGGAACCACGATAATACTGCCACTGGAGCAAAAATAATGATACCCATCCCAGCATCATACATTCTTGCAAATTCCTTCACAGATTCCCACAGACCCAAACTCCACACAACCCTTTTCCATGTGATTGCTAGCTGCAAGGAAAATTACAATGTGCAACTTTAAGAACAAAACAGATCTGTAAATATAAAACATATTCATGTATTATCCTACAAAACAGTCGCATAAAACTTATCTTTAGTTACTTCCTCGCTAGGATATAAATGTTTTAGCAAATAGAAAGATCTCAACACTTAGATAAAACAGTGAGTGAGGGGGGATCCAGGTCGTGCAAAGACAGCAGTATGAACTCACAAGTGGTGCAACTGCCAAAAACTGAAATAAATACCTCCATGACATACATATGCAAATATATACGCTGGGGAAACACTTAAAAAGACTACATTCCAACAGGATGATGGTAAGAATTTGCAATTGCAGAAATGAGTTCAACCATGCTATAACAAATTTGACACAAACTATTCCAACATGCCAACAGTAACTAAAGAAGATAATTTTTAATATCATACAGAAGCAAATAAAGATAACAAGGAATCCCCTATGCAGTAAATTGTGCAAACAGTTGTCAGAAAGTAGAAGCAACAAAAAGATGTTAGAAAGCAGCCCAGGAGCTAGCTGACTTACGCAAAGGACAGCCCAACCAGTTGCAATAAAGGCGAGGACACTAGCAAACAAATCGGCAACAGACAGTTCAGTAAGAGCCACAACAAGGCAAAGAGCTGCAACAAGTCCCAAAGCTGTAACTCCTTGAATAAATCGCAGCATGAGCTGGAAGTTGGTGGATTTTTTAGGGCTGAAAGTAAAGATCTGCAATTTGATAGTTTCACAGATTATTGAAAAGTTTGGGGCATTGCAGTTACATAAGACTCAATAAAGTAAGCCAAAAACATCAGACAGATGAATACCTTGAAAATCATAACAACGCCCACCAGTACAATCCAAGAAAAGCCATATATCTAGTTGTACAATGAGTTTCGGTTAGTTTGTCTTCAGAAGAGAACATAATCAATACAACACAGAAATATACAGTAGCACTCAACATCAAAACATAAAGTAACACACCATAACATCACTAAATCTGAGAACATTATTAAAAATTTCAAAAATTTGCAAATCCAGAGGGATGCTGCATTATTCTGTATTAAAGTTTTCTCGCATCATATATCAATCAAAAGCAGTATCCCTGCTGGAAACATTTTTGCAGACATAGTTTCACTGGACAGTTCTTACGTCTTCTTTTACTGATATCAAACTCCTAATTATTTATTAAATCTGTTAAAGCAAAATCTGTTTAAATGATTCCTATCTATCTGCAAACTGAATAAAGAATTAGTAGAATATATTCTAGTCTTCACTATCTTTCGTGAAATGTACGTAATAGATGAAGAGAAAATTAAATTTAGAAGAAAATTCCAACAAGAGTAGCTCCCATTATATACAAATCCAATAGTCATATAACCCAATAATTTTTTTTCTATGCCCCAAATATGAAAAAAAAGAGAGAAGCAGCAGCATAAGTAATCCAGGAAGCTTTAATTGCATGCCCAAGAACACACGCACAAGCTTTAGATCTGTCACACTGAGAAAATGTACAAGTTCATAGTAGCATAAGTTTTGCATTAGAAAAATTGTATACTATGTATGTGTTTTTTATTCCAAGGCTATCCACTCAATTTATTAACATGAAAAACAACCATGTACGCACATAAAAAACAACCATTTACGCCCATTTGGTTCATTCCACAGAGAACTAAATGTTTGTCTTAGTATGCAACTAATGCGAAAACATACCGCAAGGGAAGTGTCCGTTCCAGTCAACTGAAGTTTATAAACAATGCCGTACTGGAAGAGAAAAAATCTGAGACTCAATATTGTCTCTAGTATCCGTCCTCTCAAAGTCTGGATATGAATCTGCAATATTAAAAACTTGGTGTTAGAAAGAGCAATTTCCAGAACTTCCTTTTTTACTTTTCGTTTCATTTTCAGTTTCTTTTGGAGGGGAGAGGGAGATCCTTTTAGAGAAGATCCTTTTTTCTTCTCATAGGAATGATCTGGTAGCCTAAAACTTCCTCATGTTTTATTTTTAGGCAGAGAGAGTACAGAAAAAGGCGACGGAAAGGAATATCACAATTTAAAAATGTCCCAACTGTTTGCATCAAAAAGAGGAGACAAGTGGGTGATACAGTACTGGCCAGAATGCAATTGACAAGGAAAAGAGAGCTCATGAAGGTATAATTTATGTTACAAAATTTACAACTAAAAGGATACATAAGTCGACCTGTTCTTCATCCCACCAGGACTCCCAGCTGTCGTCTCCCTTGACACCTACTCCACCCTTGTACATAAGCCAGTTGGTCCAATCATCAAAGTCCTCAACGGTCCTGTAAAATCATGACAAGTATTGAGAGAATCACGGAATTATCAGCAGCTCTAACAGCATCACAAATCACAGACGGAGGATGACATGTGAACAAAAGAATAAGGAAAAAATGATGACAACTATGATTTAAAAGGATAATTAGTGTAATTACATATTGGTCACAACTGCCTCATCCCATTTTCTTTGAT